ATTCGACGTCCTTCAGTTGTAGGCCATCCGGGCTGCAAGCCACTGCTTCTATCCTCCTGATACGGTACTGTGATAATCTCAGAGAGGCGGAATATATAGCTGGCCTAGGTAGGGCATGATTTCTGACATCTCATACCGCTATATCCCCCGCCCCCGCCCCAATTTGACTCTGAAAGATGCATTTCCCGAGTGAAATGAAATTAAGCGGCATGGAAGCAACTGGATAAAATATCGAATGAAAAATCCAAGTTATCTCAAGAGAGGACACAAACGCTGATCTGAACACCTACTCCACTCTTAGCCCTAGGCATGATCGGCTACTGCTACAAACAAAGGATAAAGGATAAAGCATTTGCCGTTGATCAATCCCTTTTGGGATGCGGCACGCATTCTACTTCCATTTGTACATTCGTAGTGGCGTTTGAATGCGATGTGGCCTATACAATGACTTGCGGGGGCCAGCCGATGTACAAGTCAGTGTTTTTATCCTCCCAGACAAGTCTGGTACCAATTAACCGACCCCGGAGGGATGGAAGGCTTGGTTGGCCCGGGCGACTCACGACCCAGGATTTGATCCCCGGACCGCTCGCGTGGTAAGCGCGCCACTTGTCACTACACCACTTCCACCCCATTGCAACAAATAGCCAAATTTATTAGCTTTCAGTGATTTTCAGAAACTTGACTAATTCCCAAGAAAGTTACCCTGCAAATATTTCGGATACAGGCATGGAGGGAATTCTCAAGTGGTGGAGAGAGAATTTACCTGTTTACAACTGAAACAACTCAAAACAGTTGCAACAGTTATGTACCAAATATTCCATGGTGCACTGCGAGTGCAATATAACCAATCATTGTCAGATTTTTATCTTTTCAATTACTCCCGTTCAATAGCCCGGAGTGTGACTTGCGAACAGCCTTCGCAATCCGGTTCATCCCGACGGCAAGGGTCCAAAGTACAGTGGTCGATGATCCATAAAAATGTCGACATGGAGACCTTATCAGATTGGAGAATTCCTTCGGCAAATATCCTCATAGCCCAATTACGACAGTCCCTGTAGACCTCGAAAAGCTGGTAGTCCATTAGCAATACTGAATAATGACATAAAAAAAAGCGAAAAAATGCGGAAATAGAATAAGTATTAAACAATCTCAGCTCACAGTTTTTGGAAATCTTCTAGCTCGCGCAATCTTTTGACATAAGCTTACTATTATTACTGCTATTATTATTATTCTAATTATTTTAATTATTTCTGATTCGTCAATTATTTCTGCGTAATTTGCTAAATGTTGCATATTTTTCCACTAGTGTGCGTCTCATAAAACAATAGAAGAATAAAAGTAGCAAATAGTTCGCGTTGACCAATCCTTTGTAGAATATGTCATGCATTCTATTTGTAGTAGGGATGGTGTGGGTATTTGAACGCTTAATCCACACAATGACTTCCTGAAAGGGACGAATCTGGTAAGAATTCATGGATCCAAAAAGGTCCGCAAGATAGGGATGGCCAGGGTGACTTGATGAGGATTCCAGATCCCCAAGAGTCGGGAATGGAAGACTGCGCCACTGTAGTGACAGCTTTTCTACATGCCGCGAAGCATTAAACAACTTAATGAAACTGGTAATTGAAGTTCCCAAGTTGTGAATGTGGACTCCACTCCTGCGTCCAGTCCCGCGCTTATCTTTCCGGTCATCCACTGCCCCACGTGGTGCGATTTTCTCGTCGCAAGGTAGCATTTCTGCGACGCAGTGATAACAACGTGTTCCATTCGAATACCGTCCGTATCTACTACTCGCCGGCTACCCACCACTTATCGTTGACCAATTCAAGGGGAGTCAGTTCAAATGCATTCATAATGGCCGCGATTTCTGAATGGGAAAGAAATTCGTGCGCGCAATCATAAAATTTAAAATTTAGATCAGACGCGTCATGCCTGTCCTTTGGCGGCTAACTATAAACAAGCATAGCGCTATTCGCACGCAAGATAGGGGCACTGAGGAGCAGCCCATTTCTGCAAATTTGCGTGGAAACATGTCCTCTTTGCTAAGCAAAGGGTTTAACCCAGATCGGGGTGGAGGGGCTCCAGGGTTCGTGAGCCATTCCCATTTTATAGTAGATGCCACTTCATATTGCGATTGCTCCCAGTTATACATAGGCAAAATGGAATTCTATGTTGTCTCCAACATTTGATAGCGGGTAGATTTAGTGCTTGCTTCTTTGAGTAACCGCGCAAGTAAAATGCAGCAATCTAACAAGGCTAAAGGAGTAAACATAGAGGATTTCAAGTTTCCTGAAGAGACAAAGTCATTTAATTCTATAGGACTGAACTTCGTAAAGATTTGTGGCTGACGATGGCAAAACCCTTTTGCACAAATCACCTAAATGCCCCAAGACTCAAAAATTGGCATTGAACTTGAACAGTCTTCAAAAAATTGCTACAAAAAACGATGCTCCTCATCAACTCCTCCAATGGTTGACGACAAGAACAAGTTGACGCATTCCATTATGCCTTAGTGGCCTGGCATTACTGGACTGGTTGATGGGAGGTTGTGAGCAGTGCCAAACAAAGAAAAAAATCAATAAAAATAACTGTGAATACGAACGCCGCTCCAAATCGAGAACAACTGGCAGACAAAAGCCGTGCGTGTTGAATAGTTAGGTGGACAAGTCACGTCGAGGAGTTCGATCCCATCCGCTGAGAACACAGCAGAACTCGCAAAGAGTTCGTTCTCAGTTTTTGGCGAACAAATTAGGGCGCTATCGCAAAATAAGGGGCATTATGGTGGAAATGCATTCACAACCGCATGAAACATCGCCTTTTTGGTGGACTGTCCCTAAAAATGTCTTAGGCAAGAGAGGAGAGACTCCAGGGTGCGTGGGGCAATTAAGAAAGAAAAAACCTTTATAAACGAAATAATTAAATGGTTCGTTTCGCTCCTTCCTCAGACGAACCTTATTATTTCGTCAATCCCCGGAGCTCGTCTCGCTTCCCGGAATCTCCTTCCCCTTCCTATTCTTACTCTTAGAGGACGCCCCTGTACCTGTAGTGCCCAAATTTGTTTCCTTATCGGTTACACCGACATAGTGTTGGATCGCCTTAGCTAAACTGGACGCCGAATGCATGGCGCATCTCTGAAGAATCCCATGTCGCTTTTCACACACATTATAGTTGGTGACGCTACCTTTCTTTTGGCTAAATTCTACCTAGAGACCTCGGTCAGTCAGAACTGCTGAGCTTAGCAAGGACCTAGGCTTTGTAACGGAGTTCAGGGTCAGAAAAAGGGTCGAGAAATTGGGCTTACTCATCACAAGGAGGGCCGATTTCTGTCGTTGAATCGCAAAGAACTATCTAGCGGAAGAGTTCTTATGTTCTCTAAGACAGGCTGATATCACTATTGCAGTTCTGTACAAATAGTAGCAGTGGAAGGGGGTGTTCTGATAATGCACTATTGATTCGTCACGTGTCACCGCTATTCCAAAAAAGAAAACCTTAAAAAAAACTCGGCCACTATATGAAGGCCCAAAGGGATATGTAACCCTGAACTTCGTCCAAATTATGCAAATTCCAAGGAACCAGTGGCCAATCAGTATGACAATATTGTGGTGTAGTATCTCCCTACGCGGGGTCAAAGACCACGAATCAGATAACCGCCGGTGTGTCCCCGTTCGTTATCGTCAGCGATGGAGAACTTGATTTAGGAACCTTTTGGGTGGGTATTCCCGCCAACGGAGACCTTAACAAGTTCTTCTATAAACATTACAAGCCATTAAAGAGGTGTTCTTGTAGGTTTGAAGAGAATTTACGCCATCTGAGCGATTACCACAAAACCTAGTTTACTTTTAGGAAGCAAATTACAAATTTTGAGGAAATTATTTATTACAATTTCATAATAATTATAAATGTTAACCTTATTCCCTGTTGGGTGCCGTAAAGCTAAAGGACTAACAACACGCTTTCAGTAGGAAGCTTCAACTAGTCTTACGCTCTCAGGTAGAAAGCGTTCAAGTTTGTCTCTGTTTAATGTTACCGTGCTTTCCTATTCTTTTTATGTCATGGTTACACTTTATTGTACAATTAAGAATAAATAAATAAAGCAGAACAACTGTGTGGTCGTGTTTACGCCCTCCATGCCCGCTCTTCAACACAATCGAGCTTGATTTTCATCAAAAGTTGTCTCAGGTACTGAAAAGGTACATAGGCGCTATTGGGAGCAATATATTTCCCCACGTTCAAAGGTTCAGCAACAAAGTGGTACTGAACTAAAGTGGTGCTATCATAAGAAGCCGTCCAGGATGTCAGATAATCTATTAATGTTCTAACTAAAATATATACAGAAAAAAAGGCACAAAGATCATTTCCTGGCATAAATTCCCCTGGTTAATTATTTGTAGCTATTTCTAAAGATCAACCCTCACAGAGAAGACTGAGGCAATCCTTTGACGAGTTTCCTGTCCCTCAATCAGAACTCTTTCGAGTCAGGCAGAGTGCCAGGAGTTGTAACCAACTTAAGTTATGACTAGTGAAGAAATCTGGGATCCCGGGTGAACAAATGGGGAAGCCTCCCGGGTCATTCTTTCTGGATTTTTGAGAGATCAGTGAACCACAATCTGAGACCAAAACGAGGGCAGGGTGGCGACAGAATAAGCCATGATCAAAAGCCAGTTACTCATCTACAAAAGGGGTAGATCCATGACCCTATCCCCATCAAAACAAAGCGGGAACCTTTCTTCGCGCCGAAATTTCTCTCAGAGTTGTTTATTTGCTTTAGGAAGCACTGGATTTGTCCTGAACAGTGGTGATGGGCCAATTAATGGACCACATAGTACTCACAGGTGTAGCGCGACTTCAGAGAACGATCATGAACGTAGTTCTGACCCTCGGCGTCCATCACAGTGTTATCGATGTTTGTGTGCTCTCCCATCGCGTAGTGTCTGACCGGGAGGTGATGCCGTATAAAAGGGCGGCGACCGCCCAGCACCATCCGATCTACACACCAAAACATGGCGCAGGCCGCTAAGAACTGGTATCAGGTACGCTAGGGTGTTTTGCTGTTTATTCTACTTCGATGAAAACTCGTTGTGGGAACTTCACTTCCTCATTTGACCGTAACCTAAGAAATCACTTTTTTAAATTCTGGTTTTGGTGATAAGGATGAAACTTTCACTGATAAGTTTTTCGACCTCATGGGTTTCTGTAGCCATTTTTGGGTTTGTGGGTCTTCGAGTTATCTTGAAACTTCTTGGACAATTCAACAATCCATAATATTGCTGTATTCTCTCTTTCTAAAGAAGTAGAAATGGTCTCTCGCGTTTTGTCGGACTTTTGGGCGCCCTTGAGACCTCATCCACTAAGGGAGGGGGCCTAAGGGGGATGGGGAAGGGGCATGTGGTGCGGCAGTTCATATCGCCTTAGATATTCCAGTTTTTCGCGTGGAAGGGAGTCTCCGGAATCTTCCCACCTGCAAGAATTGGAATTTCTGTAGGCGAAAGCAAATGTCGCACCACATGGCCCCTCTTACTGGATGAGACCTCACCTTTGTCCTCCTTAGCCCTTTAAGGTTACTATTGAATATCAGTGAGCATAAAGCTCCCTGCTAGCAATCGCTCTGTCTGTTAGCGATCCGATCCATTGTTCTGGTTGTTTAGGTGGTCAAAGCTGCCCCCAAAGGACGGTTTCAAGGGATAAAACGAGACTATCAGGTAAGCTCCCTTAGTTATTCAATCCTGCTGATAACATAATTTATGTGAAATTAATTAAGGTTGAAGATGTGTTGAAACTACGAGGATCAGTTGAAATCGAGTACACGTTGGCCATACGTGGAGCTAACAAGGTCAGTTCCTTCAGGCTTCTCGTATAAGCGCTTCGTAGATTGCTCAAATCCTGTTTTCAGCTATGGCAGCTTCTCCACACCGAACCTTTGTGCCTGCCCTAGGAGCCCAGACGGGTAACCAGGCTGTACAGATGGTCCGTGCGGGACTGAAGGCCATCTATTTGTCAGGTAACAGCTGAAATTCGCTATAGAGCTTTGTCAACCAACTGCTATACAATATTTTAGGCTGGCAAGTGGCGGCCGATGCTAATACGGCAGGCGATATGTATCCCGATCAATCACTCTACCCGGCGAATTCGGGACCCGAGCTGTGCCGAAGGATCAATAGATCCCTCCGGAGGGCAGATCAGGTGGTTCTTTGAGGAATTTGTTAACTCCTTGAGAGTGAGGGAGCAACTGTGCTGAAAGGCTGGGTGAGGAAGAGCCAACTTGGACAGTAGGGAACCCAGGGGGAGGGGAGGGGAACTTGGGTTAACGCATTTGAAACCACAACAAACTGATTTTTTTTGCGGTTCGGAGAAAATGGGATAGAAAATATTTGGGATATGTGAGCCGGATAGACGTGCAGATTTTTCATATTACCTAATAGTTACCCAAATATTGCCTAATAGTACCTGACTAGTAGGCTTATCAATCCTGGAGTTAACCTCTTTACTGAAGCTGAGCTTTGAAAAGGAAGAATCCTGAGTTCTTTCACTGGAGCTGGCGTAGGAAAGGGAATGCTAGTTCTTTTCTAAAGCTGAGCATTGAGAAAAGGCGAAACCCAGGGTCCTTTTACTAAAGCTAGGTTTTCGGAAATGAAGGGACCCTTGGTGGGTGAGTAACTTTCTGAAGGGGTCCTTGTGCTCAAAAATCGGCGTGTCTACCCGGGTCATATAGCATCAAAGTATTATCTAACCTCTTTCTCGCCCGCGGACGAAACCAATTGGTTGCGCCACCTCGAGACTTCCTGCGTTCCGTAAAAACTGGATAACTGTAAGCACAAACTATTCCAGCACGATGCCCCCCCCCCCGACTACACGAGCGCCATTATCACCTCCAAAAGCTAGCTCATAATTAGGGTTGGAAAAAGGAAACCTTGATAAGTTATAGATTGGTTTTTCAGATCGAAGCCGTCGAGGCCGAGGATTACCTGGCCCAGCGAGACTGGTACGCACCGATCGTCGCCGATGCTGAAGCCGGTTTTGGAGGAGCGCTGAACTGCTTCGAACTGATGAAGGTGCTCGAATCATTTTTCACTTTCAAGGGAACTTTCCGATGAGCAAGGGCGTTTTTTTTCTCGCAATATCATTGAAAATACTACAACGTAGTAACCGGCCGTACTTTGTTCTCTGCACTCTGTCGCCTTGTTTACTCCCGAACATCGTCCGTGCCCTGCCCTTTCAGAGAGATACTACAGGTGACTGATAGTCACAGCGTTACTACGAGTGACAAGTATTGCCCTCTTGCAGTAATATGAGCTATAAAACTGTCACAAAAAGGGGATAAGGGGTACTGAACAACCCTTATAGCGATCAGTAGTATCGATTTGGTGTAAATAGCCCCTCAGGTCACCTATCCGTTGAAGGGTTAAAGGATGGAGCGCTCGGTGCTGGGCTCACTTTTGCAGATTTGGTCTAATGGATGGTAAAAATTCCTGATGGTACTTATCACAAGGATGCTGGGTTATAGGCAAAACTCTTAGTCCACGGTGAGGATCGAACCAGCATCTCGAAAAATCGTAATGTCCGCCTAAAATGAAAAAAAAACGTGAAAAAATTGAGCAGTCAAAATATAAAATACAATATTATCTAGTAATGTGTGAAAATAAATATAATAATTCAATAATTAATATTGTAATAATTAAATATTTACAAAAATTATAAAAATTGAAATAATTTTTTATTTGTTGTTGAGTAATGAACTGCTTAGATGCGCCGCGCATTCAAGTTTCATCATGAATTGTCGAAGTGTTTGGGTGCATCATGGGCTTCAGTCAACGGCCTTGCAGTGCGCAAGTGGGTTTTCTTATCCCCGTCGAAGGACGCTAGCAATCACTTGAATGAGGAAGACAGTCGCTCAGACCGAGGACCGATCTCTGTAATGTTGGTGTAGATCCAGGGTGTTTCCATTCTCCTCCCCAGGTCAGCTCATCCAATGTCGAAATACCACTCGTTTGTGGTAGCTTGCCGACAACTAAGCCTAGGCCCAAGCATATTCCAATGTGCAGCATAAGCTTAAGCCTGGCCTGAAACCAAACATAACCTTAGGTTTCAATGATCGCAGAGCTCTAGTGATCTGAACCAGAAGGAACAGTGAGCGTTTCACCGTGATGTACCTTACCCTACGAAAACAGCAACACCAGCAACACACTGCAAGCGAAAGAGACCACTGGCAGGTGTTGTTCGCTTAAATTTACTTTTTGGTGGCATAAGATGCTCTTTTTCGCCCACAAATGGTGGAGCACCAAAAGTGGTTCAACCCTTTTTGAGATGCGCCACGCATAGTGCTTTTCTTTGGGATTGAGTGGCACTCCGATCGAAGAGGCGATTTGTATACAATGAATAGCCGATCTACGATTCTGCTCAATAATCAGTCGTAGAGGTCCCAGAACTGCACCTCTGTTTTTTCATGGCAGCTGTTTTTGTCTTCCTAGACGAGTTTGTCAACGAACCCGCTCGGGGAGGGGGGGGAGAGGACTCGGTTGGCGTGGATAGCATATGATCGAAAATCTGATTCCCGGAGTGGCGCCAGCTGCCTCTATACCACTTCCGCTCTTTTTCCATACTCATGGAAAGAGCGCATATGGTCTTTTTGAGAATCCTATCACTTACTATAGTCGGCCTCAAATCAAACATAACATCACACAGCAGCCAAAATGTTGATCGGTTCTGGGCGTTCAGTGTAAACTGCCGCGGCGTAAACAAAATCATTAGAAGGAAGAACGTCGATACATCGAGTGAGATCGGTCAGTTCTCAGTGATTGGTCAGGGTTGCGTAGATCGATTTCTTCTCAAAAATTCGAATTATGCGGTTTTCAATGCTTTTGCGATAAGTGGCGCTCTAAAATCAGGAAATATTTCAAATTTTACAGATTTGACCGCATTTACCTGCATTTTGTTGAATTAATGGGATCGAGTAATTATGGTAGCGCACGTATGCGTGCATCAAATAGATAAATAGGTGAATAAATAGATAAAAATAGTAGTGCATAATAAATGAATGAATGATATTGGTCTAATTTGGCAAGCGGAAGCCAGCCA